AATGAAAGAAGCACTTACAAAGCTCTTCCTTATCAAGGTTTTATTGAAATGGTTAACAGAAACACACTTGGTATAGACTTTCCCACCAAAGATAACAAAAATAAATAAATCAAGCTCAGACCAGTGACAGCTTGCTGCAAGGGAAGGGGGAGAAAACTGGCTTTTGCTTCTGTATACAAATCTATTTTTGAAACAAAGCCCAACCTGTACCCTTTTCAATTCGTTTTCTTTGAAAAAAGTCACTGGGCACATTGGGTGAGATTCAGCTTGGTCTCAGAGGCATCAGCGGGACTTTGAGGGATGGTACATTGTGTGTGTGTATAAAAAGTGAGTTATGAGAATACAAGACTAGTAGGAGATGAAGAGATTGAATTATGTGTGTGTGTGTGTGTGTGTGTGTGTGTGTGTGCGCGCGTGTGCATGTGCATGCAAGTGTGTGTATATAGATGTTTGTGTGTATATATATATATATATATATTCATAGATTGTTAGGGGCTGGAAGGGACTTTGTAAGATTATACAAGAATTCATATTTTATTTGTATATATATATATAGTTGATATTATATTATATATATAATCAAGATCCCCATGCAACATATATATTTGATATATAGTATATATAATTAATGTATAACTGATATTTTTTATATATATATAAAAATATATAAAATCACTGATGGGCATTCTCAAACTTTTGTGTATGCATGTATGTGTATGTCTGTATGTATATATATGTGTGTGTGTGTGTATGTATATACATTCACACACACACAAGTTTATATATGTAACTGATATATATATAAGTTTATATAGCACTGATGGGCATTCTGAAACTTATTTACTGCACAAACATCTTGACAGAGTGACGGAAAACATTCCAAAAGCATCTACATGACTTAGGAACATATATCCCAGTTTCAAAAGTGACTTTTAGGTATTTAAACAGACTCATATCGAGGAGTGGGTTATGGATGCACCACTTCTCTTGTGCTTTCCAGACTGCTGCTGAACAAAACTCCCACCATTTGCTCCCATGCCACGTGTGCCAATACTGAAAATAAGAAAGTGAAGGCATTGCAGGTTTCACTGCAGGAATGGATGGGTCAGGTCTGCTCCTCAGAACTGCCTTGATAGTGCAGGTAAGGTGTCACCTTATTCTCGGAAGAGGATCAAATGAGGGTTTTAAGTATCATACGTGGGGTAAGTCTACAAAGGTAGAGTCATCTAGTACCTTCTGTCCATTGCACCATCTTTCAGAATAATTCCTAGCATAGCTTTACTGAGATGAGAGGAATAAATTGAGTTCCTTGATCTCAAAGCAAAATTGGAGTAAATGAGAAAACAAATTATCCAAAATATTTTCATTTTTTTCTAGGCAAAAGGAATGCTGAATTTCCTTCAGCCTTACCCAGAACCACTCTGATCAATGCAGGTCATTCACATCTAGTTCCCACTAAACATTGAGACCTTCCCCCTAGATAGGGGGACCTGCTTACAAGTCACTCCGATATTTGTTTTGGTACCGTGTATTGTTTTCCATATGTTGGCCTTTTGAGGTGCCCAAGAATTAATATCAGAGTGACTTGTAAACAGGTCCCCCTATCTAGTGGGAAGGTCTCAGTAGCATTTAGTGAGAATTAGATGTGAATGACACCACTTAAAGATGGTTTAGTATTTGGTGAGAACAAGGATGTAGATGTTGTAAAAATGAAGCTGTTTTAATAGATGTATAAAAGGGGTCTGGAAACCCTAAATACTTTGCAGTGAACTGGGGGCTGTGCTTTCTGCTGTTGCCATGCCTGCTAATCTGGCTAATATCATGGCTGGAGCATGATGTTAGTGCCTAGGGTTGTGTGCAAACAATATACCCAGAAGATTCCTTTGTTCCTAAGAACTGAAGCTTGTGGTCTCTCTATTACAACTAGCAATGTCATTAGGAGTAGTAGTATTGTATGAGGGGTGCTATCCTGATAGCGTGCACACAGACCATAGAAAACTGCAGGGGTGCTATCCTGATAGCATGCACACAGACTATACAAAACTGAGGAGCCTGATGTGATCAATACTGCTTCACCCCTGACCACACCTGACAGAGGCCAAAAATACTCTGGTAGGGTCAATACATGTGAAGCGTATTTGACAGGATTTACACTGAGAAATGTTCTTTGAACAACAGCTACATTGAGAAATATTTCTTTGAACAAGCTATGATTCCATGTTTGCTCTTCGGGGCATTACAGGCAGATGGCAGAGACTGATTTAATTTCAGTACAGCAAAAGAGAGAAGAAGCAAAGATGCAACAGAAATAATGACTGTGGTACTGATTCAATCAACTCTTCAACTGCTGTTTGCTCTTTTTCACTGGAAGAGTAAGATGAGATGACCATTAATAACAACTGGAAAAACACAGCAACTTATCCCAGAACACTGTGAACATGGGGGAGAGGGGGGCCAGGGGAGGGAGAGCTAATATATAACTCAGATTAAGTAACCGTGGAAATAAAGCACAAAGTAAAACTGCCCTAGAAATCAGAATCAAAGCAGAAAACAAGAACGCGAGACTCATTTGGGAGCAGGTTTGGGAGGTGCGTGCTACTTTGTACTCTTGATATAGCTGTTATGAGATGGGATTCATTAGGAAATATATGTATATGCCTCTGCATTTGTGCAAGGAATGGACTTGCTTTTTACCTTCTAGAGTTTCTAATTGGTGCACAGGTTTAGTTAGAGTCCTGCCTGATGCAGAATTTGACTGTCTTTGGGGAACCATCCTATTGGATGCCTTAAATGAAAGATGGTGAAGAGATTCTTTTCTTTGAGAAGTCAAAGTTCTATCTTTAGGAATGCGTTAATTTTGAAAACCACAGCAACCCTAGTCTCTGGCAGATAAAACCTGACAAAAGGCCCACATCTAATTATTTGAATAATGCCTGTGCAGTCTAGCTTAAAATGATTTAAAAGTCAATCACTAAATAGACTTACACCAGAGATGAATATGGCCCAGTGTCAAGCAAGATATCAATAGTTAGCAGGGAAGGGAAAGGGAGGAAATGTCAAAGTGCAAAGATCTGAGAAAAGAGCTATTGCATCCATAGCTTTTCCAGGGGCTATTAATTAGGTGAATGTAAATAAGCAGGACAGCAGGTGTTTGTTGTGCCTGTGAGAGTAACAGCACGGGGCTCTGTACTATTGTCTAAGTACAACAAGCTGACATCAAAAGATATGACCTATCTGGGAATACAAGGCAAGAATAACACAGTATTGAGTAAGGTATAAAACGTTGCTGCTTCTCTAACTTGTGAGAAGACCATGTCATTGTTTATTACTCACTAATGAAGTTGTTCCCAGCCTTTTCAGACTTAAGTCCCTACCCCCTCAGAAAATGCCAGCTCTTAATTTTCACTTGTTTTTTTACTACAGTAAAATATTAAAGCACTTCTATTGCACGGAATCAGAAAGTGCACAGCAGGTCAGAAATGTTTTTGACACTATGAATTCCCCTTTGAAATCTTTGGGTTTATCTTGTGAATCATATTTGCACACCTAACAGTATGTGGCAATCCATGGCACCCTTGAAAAGCTCTTAAGGCACCCCAGGGTGCCATGGCATCCTGGTAGAGAATCACTGTGTTAATGGCTACACAAGGCACAGAACTTATGATTGGAGCAGGTTGGAAATTTTCTGCTGAAATTCTTAAAATGGAAAAATGGGTTTAATCAGCTGTCTGTAGACAATCTTAACATTTTGTCAAAAGAAATCTAAAGAAAGCTGGAAAAAATTAGCTTCTGTCTGAAAACAAAAATTTCAGGTGAAAAATTAAATGACTTGGTCAGAAACCTCACCAGGAAGCTTTAATGGGAGCAGAGTTAAACCAATGACAAGTACTTTGAAAATCCTGTCCTAGCTGTACCCTGTATAAGAACAGCCATAGAACACAATGTCCCAGCACAAGCGATTTGCTCAGAAAAACAGGCAGAGACTGAATGTGGACTATGGAAACCAAAACTGACTTGGCCCAAACTCGGTTCTTATTGACTCAAATGTAGAAGTGGCACAACAAGATATGGGACCTCTTCAAAGGCAGCAGTAGATCCCTAAGTCTCCTTGTATAGTATCTGAAAAGAAGGATGGGGGTTCCAAAACCAGGAAGGGGATGGAAGAGAGAGAGGGAGAAGACCAGGGCCTGGATTTCCAATTTATCCTGTCTGGTCTTAACCCTTTGCTTTTCAATTCATCAGTTCTCATTGCTTTTAGGAGATGGAAAGGAGATTACCTTGATCATGATAGCTAAGTCAAGAAGGAAGTAAAGAGACAAACTTGAGAGTTCACTTACTTAACTCCAAATGAGGGCCCTAAGGAGCAGTGATAGTCCAACACTGTTGGTCTACAGACTCTGAGAGACAGAGGGCATGTCTACATGAGACACTACTGTGCAGTTGTTACTGCACATTTATTTAGTATTTGTATTAGCAAGTACTGAATAAATGCGTAGTAACCGGAGTTCCTGTGCAGTAGTGCTGGCAAATGTCTTTTAGGTGACGCTACTGCACAGTAGCCTAATAATACTGCACAGAAAGTTATTAGCGCTGTCCATGCTGTGATGTGCTACTGTGCAGTATTTTTGGCTACTGTGCAGTCAGCATCTTGTGTAGACATGCCCAGAGAGACTTGTTTATAACCTGGCTCATCTAAAGTGAGGGAAAACTGGCTTGAATTTTATAAGATTCAAAGCCAATGAAATCTGCTTTTCTTTGAGTCAAGAGGGAACAAACTGGGTTCTTTTCAAGCTCTAATACAAATCTACCTGCAAAAGAGACAACCCCAGTCTCAGTAAATGAATAACTGAAGACTATCCAAATGTACTCGTTTGGTTAAAGGTTGTGTATTGATCTGTAAGCTCTCCAGCTGGCGTAGCACTAAGCCATACTCAAGTTTCATCTGGTCCCATCTGGTCGGAGCTCGCCTCACTCATGCCTTCACTTGGTGACGCAATGTAGCAACACTGGAGACATTGGGAAAGGGTCTCCTCCTTTGAAACAGCATAAATACCTCAGGAGTCACGCTACACTGCCTCAGATGCAGGCAGCGCTGAGAGAGGAGCCTAGTTTGCTGAAGATAACAAAAGGGTGAGGTAACATCAAGGACAAAGCTGGTAAATATGTTCTTTGACTGGATGGCTTTACTTTGCATGGAGGTGTTTTAATGTTTGTGAAGGGGCCTGGCCTGTGGAAGCAGATCTTCTCTTTATCCACAGATGAGGCATAGCACAGGCAGCAGCAATGTAAGCTCCCTCACACTGCTGGCTCTCATAGGACTCAGTGCTCATCTGGAGGAAGTAACACCATAGCTTTGGCTGCACTAAAAAGCTGACCTGCTGGTGATAACTATTGCTTGCAGTGACCACCCCATCTGCTTTATGGCAGATGATAGTTTTACTGCTAATGGGGTGATATTTTAATTGCCATAACTGATAGGAATCTTAAACCATGGCTTCAAACTTTGTATTACAGATGAGTAGGGAGGGAGTGGCAGCACCTTTGCATGGGGAGGACCCTAATCTGGACAATAATGATGCAGCAGTCTGCCCGGAAATGTGATCACAAACCAGCAGCTGGGGTATCTAGGCCAGGGGTTTTCAACCTTTTTTATTGTGTAACCCCGGTGGTTGAATGCGGAGTTGAGTGGGGAGGGTTGGCGCATGGCCGGATGCAGAGGTGGGGGGGTGGCGTGCGGCCGGGCGTGGAGCGGTGGCAGCGCGGGGTGGCGGGTGGCAGTGGTAGCCACCGCATGCGAGCTTCCCTCCCCCACACTGCGTCTGGCTGGCTGGGTGGCGCTTGTGCAGCCCACAGAGGGGTGCTGTTGGCCTTGCCCCCCCTGGCCCTGCTCCTGGCAGTCAGCGGCGTGGGTTGGTGGGTGGCAGCGCTCCGTCCCTGCCTGCCCACCTGTACCCCTAGGGCCTTCCCAATTACCCTCAGGGGTACGCGTACCCCCGGTTGACAACCCCTGATCTAGGCTATATGAGAAGGGGTCTGGGAAAGCACATTGTTTAGCTTGGCTGAAATGTATACTACACAATTACTAAATAATCAAAGCAGATCTGGAATTGTTTTAGCTCTTTACTTATGGGTCTGGATATAGGATCTGAGAAGAAAAGTTTGTTTCGATGGATTTAAGTCAAAAGCTGTTGTTAAAGGAAGGGAATGAAGGGTGCTGTGTTGACTGTGATTGCCTTAAACTGAATGGGAAGGGGAGGGGATAAGGGTATTAACTACAAATGGGAGGCACTTTATGGCTGTAGCAATTGGAAAAGTGTTTTAATATCCCTAGCACGTTAGCAGATCCCCAGGTTGCACCCACTTATGGCTAGATCAGCATGTACAAACTGAGGTTGCAAATGTGAACATGCCAAAATTCAGGCCATGTATCTCTCTGAGTACCAAAGCTCTTCTATTTGCAAAATGGGCAATGCCTCAGATAGATGCTTAGGAGCCTCAGATAAATGCTAGGAGGTATGGGGCAGGAAGAGTTGTTGAGCAGTTGGGAATTCTACACTGGAAGGTCCTGCATCAACACGACACATTAGCATAAACTGTGCTTTGACAGTGCTCAGCATCCAGGGAGCAGATTCAAATCATGACACAGTCAACTTAGTGTAAACACAGATTTCAGAGGAAGGAGTAGGACTTAAGGAGTGTGATTTAAGGAATGCTTCAACAGGCTCAGAGGGGGCCAGCCGGGCACTGCTAGAGAAATTTAACATTTCGCAGAAAGGAGTGAAGAGCTCTGCTTCACTCAGGCGTGCATTACCTTTTTGCCCCATTCATGAGCTCTGCAGGGCTGGGAGGGGATAAAAAGATTAAATTTGTGAAAAATAATTAAGAGGAGAGTTAATTAAAAGAAAAAAAATGTCCTTGTGACTCAGGGAATTTGGACATGATTCTAAATAAAAACACTTTCAAATGACAATGGATGTTGCTTCCTTGTAGGGTCATAACTCCTGACATTTTGATTTGAAATGTGCAGGTTTCCAATCCACAGGTTCAAATTTGGAGAAGATGCTAGAAATATGTGGAAAGTTCTCCAGGGTTTGGGTATGCAAGCAGTGATGACTGTAAAGTGCAAACTCTAAAAGAACGTGTGTAAGCTGTGCATGCATATTGGAGGAAGGAGGATGGGAGAGGGCTCTTCCTTAGGAACATGGGCGACTGTTGCCTCCTGAGCTGGGGGGCACGTGCCCCCACAGTGGCCAGTCAGCAGCCGGGGTGGGGGGCAGTCCCGCTGCAGTCAATCCTACAGACCCATAAGTGGCAGTGGTGCGTCACTGGCACTTCCAGCCACATTGTTGGCACTTCTGGGTGAGCATGATTGGCCATGGTGGGGGGGGAACTGCTTCTCCTGGCACCCCCCACTTCCCAGCTGGCACTCTCAGGCAGGGCACCAGTGCTCTCGCCTGCCCCCCTTGCCCAGGAATGCTAGCTGTCAGGGGGTACACCAGCATTTTCAGGGTGTGCATGTGCACCCCCGTGCACTCCCTATGCATCGCCACTGCTTAGGAACATGCAGGAACCTACAGAGTGAGCATAGATAGAGTGAAATTCTACTCCTAGAGCAGTAAAATAAAAGTCCCAAATGGTCTTTGTACACCATTATGCCAGGAAAGATAATGTAACAAAACCTCGTTCAGGACTGCTACCTCTCAATTAATTGTAAGGTAGGTGTTAGGTGCAGAAAACACATCTTCACTGTGTGGAGGAAATCTGTCTGCATTTGTACTCACACCCCCATTTCAGTTGTGCTATAAGAATTCGTTTTTGTATTATGCTACGAAAATATTAAGTTCCGTGTTAGGATTAGCTATTAGGAGGATTGACTACATAGAGAAGAAAGTGGGGGAGCAGACTGTAGATTGAAAGTAAAGGGCTCAAGAGACCTGGTTTCAAATCCCTGCTCTACCACGGACTACCTGTGTAACCTTGGGTAAGCAGTAACTTAGCCTATGTTCCCCACTTGTAAAATGGGGCAACTCAGAAGGGTGTTGGTGGGATAAATGCGTTAAAGACTATGAAGCAGTCAGATTGTAAAGGAATGGGATTGATATGAGAACCAACGATAGACACATTGAGGGAAGGATCTGAGTGGAGTACAGAGGGGAGGAGCATCTGATTAGGGTTAGGGTTATCAGTCAACGGCCGCATCCAAAACAACATGGACGTTTGGTTCCCCTGGGACAACTAGCAGTGGCACACCTTGTGCTACTGCTAGTTGTCCCTGGGGATTGCCTGTGCCACACGCCCTGTGGCGTGCAGCAGGTTACCCTGGGTGGGGCAGGGGAGTCTGAGGTCAGCAACTGTGCTGGCCCCAGCAGCCTTACCTGGGGTCCTGGGAAGCTACAGCTGCATTGCTCTTGCAGCTGGGAGCCTGCCTGGCAGCTGGAGTGTGGCTCTGGCCAGCCAGGCTCCAGTTTTGGGAGGCGTTCACTGTTGCCACGTGTGCCACCCCACTTTTTTTCTGTGCAGGTTTTTTTGACCCCAAGAAATCCCTAGGAGATCCTGGGTCAAAACAACCCCCCACACTGCAAGGTAGCAGCACAGGAAATGCCTGAATGTATGGTGTATGCTGTCACAGGTGGGTCTCCAGCACCACGTCCTGCATGGCCACACTCATTTGGATGTGGCCAGTGTTTTCACCACTGGATCTAAAATAAGGGGAGCACAAAATCCTTTTGAAAATCCCATTCTTATAATTTCTTGAACTTGGGGGACAAAGAAATACAAACCTCTTACACTATCTACACAAGAAACAAAATGTATATCAAGTTAATTAAATCTCTGCCCTTCTCCCTCTGTTTTAAACAGGCATTACTCAGGTGTTTTTTCAACATGAATCCAACGAGTCTCTTCTGCTTCTTCCTGTGCCTCATCGCAGTAACTGGTGACCGGGTTTACGTCCACCCTTTTGCTTTGTTTGCATATAACAGGAGTAGCTGTAAGGACCTGGAAAACTTGATCCAGGAGGAGAAAACATTCGTCCCTATCTTCATCAAGTCTCAAGCCATCCCTGCCTATGAAGAACAGCCCAAGCCAGAGATGCAAAGCTTAGGTGTCAATGGCAAGCAAAGACTGAGCTACCTGAAAAACCTAGTGTATGTTCTTGGTGTACGTTTCTATGGTGCAGTGAGGGAAACACGAAAGGGTGAAAACATTCTCCTTTCCCCCACAAGCATCTATGGGTCTTTGGTATCTTTCTACTTAGTGGCTTCAGGCCAGACAGCAGCTGATTTACAGGACTTCCTGGGATTCATCTCCCCCTCTGGTGACCCAGACTGCACCTCCAAAGTGGATGGGCGTAAAGTCCTTTCAGCCCTGAGGACCATTGATGACCCGCTCCTCACCAACACAGCTGATGATCTGTTCTTTTCAAAACTGTCCTGCCTCTTCTCTGCCCCAAATGTCCGCCTAGCTGAATCATTTGTGCATGACTTGGCCCTTGCTTCTGATGCTTTCTATGCTCGAGCTGTTGATTTTACAAATCCAAGGCAAGCAGTAGAGCAAATAAACACCTTTGTGAAGGCCAAAGTCACCAGCAGGAGCAAGAACTTGCTGACAGACATCGACCCAACAACCACCTTGCTCTTTACCAGTGAAATTCACTTAGAAGGTAAGGAAAACAAGCAGTAATTTCAGGGGCTATCTCAGTAGAGGGTAGGCAATGAACTACAGCCCTATCAATTTGGGTAGACATCATCTCATTTTGTATCTTGAAACTGCACCCTGCTGGGCTCTGCTCCTGTGAACTCAGCACAGTCAGGTAGGTGACCTCAGAGAAAACTTTGAGCACTACAAGGCTTAATATTGGCTTTGCACTGTGCTGCGATTGTTACTATTTATAGTGCCTAGAGGCACCAGCCAAGATCCAGGGTCTCATTGTACTGTAGGGATATGGAGTAAGAGAGGCACCTCCTATTTCAGAGAGCTCATAGTCTAAATAGGGAAGACATTGGGATTAGGTGGGATCAAGTGACTATCCCAAGGTCACAGAGGAGATGTTTGATAGAACCAGGAACTGGTGCCAGACCTCCCAAGTGCCAAGCCAGTGCCTTAACCACAAGGTCACATCCATGGTGTATGCCTATCACTGCTACCTGAGCACTGCAGTGCAGTTAATGTCCCATTAGGACAGGAGCAGGCAAAATACAGCTGGTGGGCCAGATCTGGCCCACCAGGCCATTCTATCCAGCCTGCGGCAACAACAACACAACCCCTGCTTGTTTTGCCCCCCCCCCCCCCCCCCCCCCCCCCCCCCTCTGCCCCCCCAACTGGAAACCTCTGCCTGCCCCAGCTTTCACTGCTTCCCTGCACATCTGCTCCAGCACCACGTGGCCCTCAGCTGCATTGCTGGACCATGGGAGCATGGGACTGCACCAGTACCTGGTGCCAGGAATGGGAGGGGTGTGTGTGTGCACGCATGTGTGTGCATGTGTGTACATGCAGTGAGGGAGGGGGAGAGAGAGACAGAGAGAGCAATGAGACAGAGACAAAGAGATAGAGACAGAGAGATAAGAGTGAGTGTGTGTCTAGAGAGGGAGGCA